CCATCAGCACCTACAATGATGCCCAGTCTATAGCGCTCCCCAAGGCAACCAAGGACGAGAGGCTCAGAGATCATGTTAAAATGTGGAGTGTGGAGATGCTGGCCTTTGTTCTGTCTAGGTTGCATTTTTTTCTGGACTCATCAGAAGGTTTATGAAGGGTTTTGTTTTGTTTTAAATAGGTATTCAAGATAGATATATGAATAAGTCAGAGTGATTGCAAAGGCCGTTTGGCACTGTTTGGCAGAGGCTGAGGTGGTGGTGTTTCTAGGATGAATAATAAAGTAACATATAGTTAATTTTTTGTTGTAGTTATACCTTATAAAGGGCCACACTCACTGAGTTAGCCAGTATGAAAGCATTGCCCCAGATAAAACAGAGTTCTGTTTCTGGGATTCTCTGACCAATGTGCTTGTCAGCCCTTCCATACATAACCTTCTTTGGTATGTATCTGTTAAAGGTGCTATGCTTTATGTGTCTCATTTACTAGCATTGAACCCATGCCAAATGGTGGTAGACCGCCTCCTGCCTGAAGAAGTGTCTCTAACACATACTTTCTTTGTAAAGTACATTGTAGCCTTCGCAAGCTTCAGAACATCAGACATCACAGAAATACAGGGGAAGAGAATGCTCTTTAATAGACCATGACAAAGATTCTTCTTTAAAGGCTAAGGAATAGAACCAGAACAGAGTTACCCGGTAGGTTCAGTGGCTTGAAATGTCCCCTGTTCTGTCAGTGAACACAAAGAACTGGATAATTACAAATACATTTAAATGAATAGGTAAAATCTTAACTGCATTATCTAGAAATGAGAATCTGAGAGCATAGTTTATTTGGTAGCTTGCCTAGCATACACAAACTCTGAGTTAGAGCCCTAGCATCACACAAAGTCAACACAGGGACACATTCCTGCAATTCTAGCACAAAAGTTCAAGGTCATCGTTAGATGTATACTGAGTTTGAGGTGGCGCATGTTTACATGAGACTTTGTCTCCAGATTAGGAAATACACTCTCTGTTGAAATTAAATACAACCAGAGTCATTGCCCTGCCCCCTGAAATGCAAATTTGTCAGCGGATATGCACATGAGGAGTTTGTCTTGAGCCAGGCTGACTTTCTCTGTAAGGGGTAAAAGTCTGATGGATATTCCAGGTTTTGCCAGCCACACTGTCCCTGTCAACTCTGCCAGTCAAGTATCCTGATTCAGCACAAAGTAGCCACAGGCACTCTATTGTAAATGCATGTGGTTCTGGACCAAGAAAAGTTTGGGTTCATGCACTACATTTTGAATTTCACATAATTTTCATGTCACAGAATACTATTTGTCCTCTGGGTTTTCTTTTTACTATTTTAAAATGTAGAAACCATTCTTAGCTCATAGGCTAAAGCATATGGTAACCAGATATATCCCGAAAGCTCCATTTTGTCAACTCTGGTTCAAAACTACTAGATAGGGATGCTTAGTAATTTTAAAAAGACTAATTTTTTTTTTAAAGGTATAATGAAATTTAAAATTTTCCGAAGTCCCAAGACCCAGCAATTTTCAGAGGCAGCACATAAATAAATATGCATATATAGGCACATACTTCCTGTAGTGATGGAATGTACTTATTCTACTGGCAACATGAAAGATGTTTTGGGCATCATGGATGGATCTGTACCCAAAATATATTGGCAAACTGAGGCTGGGCCACTAGTCTTTCACTAGCATCATTTGGTGCCTCTTTAGTTTTGTAGGTGTTATAAGGCACATTGCATAGATTCTCTCCTATATGCTCAATTCAGAGATGATGCTGGCTCAATTCAGAGATAACCCTGGGGCTGGGGGAGAGGAGATCAAAAAGTCAGGCCAGATTTTGCCCTTCAAACACTTAGAATGGAATAAGTTATGCGAGTGGTTTGCATATTGAAGTATAAAGGATGTACAAATGTGTCAACTATACTTCCTGAGTAAGTAGTTGCCTTCTGTGAATTCCAGGACCAGAGAAACATCAGAGATCAGAGGTCATTATCCTGCTTGTGGACAGAAAAGCAAAGAGTCCAGGGTAGATGGCAGAGGAGGGATGGAGTATTCATACAAACCAACCAGGCTTCACATCTAGGTGTCTCCATGCATCACAGTGTGCTATTTCTCTAGACTTTGTGTCTATGGCTCTGTATCCAAAGAGCCCTCTCGAGGGCACAAGAGATGGATAGGAAGTGACTATGGCAAAAAATTGATGGATCCTGCACTTGGATTTATGAGCCACTCAGAATTGTGATACTTTTGTAACTAATACAGTCAGTTACTGCTTCCTTAATTATTAAACATATATTTGTAACACCTGAACACTGGGTGCCTCATTTACGTTGGCAGCCTTCCCAAGTCTGTCAGACAAGATTCTGATCTCTAGAGACCTCATTTTTCTACCTTAGCCATGATGTTGTGGTGTGTGACTGAGTGGTGGATTATAGTCATTCCTGTGTGCTCTGGGATCAGGCAGGATCACCAGTCATGGTCACCTTCCTGTGCTCAGGGCATCAGTAATGATCTATATAGGTAGGTAGATGAGTTGTTGAGATTCCTTCCAGAACTGTGCTGTAGGTATATATATACAAAGGTGTGTGTGTGTGTGTGTGTGTGTGTGTGTGTGTATCAGGTCAGCTGTTCTGGTACACACCTGGAATCCCAGCACCCGAGAGGCTAAGGCAGGAGGATTATAGGTTCCAGAACAGCCTGATTTAGATGGTGAGACTACATCTCAACAAAACAAAAGGAAACAAAAATATTGAAAAATAGCTTCAATCTTATAACATAGAGGAAGGACTAACCACATTGTAGCATGTATATTGACTGAATTTGTTTTTTTGATCATTCAAACATAAAAAATGTCAGTTTTAAATGGCTGAGGGGAAAAAGACATTATGTAAAACTTTGAAGTGGCACAGTGATCTGAAAAGCAAAGAAACAAAATCATACCTAGGTCCTCAACAATGTCAGGCACTAGCTGCAACAATGTTTCCCAGGGTCACAGACAGCTGTGTTATTTTAGGAGATTCTTAGAAACTACTCTCTCCAAGCTGAACCCTAACCCCTACTATACACAAGGGCATCTTCCCCACTGCATGTAATGCTATCCTCATTAACACACGTGATGGAATCCTCACTGCTGTATACGGTGACATTCTAGATGCTCACTATCCTCAGCTGGCAGAAAAGGGAGTCCTAGAGACATGATCCAGGTAGAAAAGTCACTTCTGCTGCTGCTTACAGCTGTGAAAGCTGGAGTCTAACCAGGAGAATCTTCTAGGGGGAGCCTATGCCTAGTGTATCCTGGAGAGGAGCCTGCATCTTGGAATGAATTGTGTGGACTGGAAGGGATGGGTCAGGGAAAGAGTTACAAATAAGAAGCCCTTGCGTCCTCAAAACCAGAGGTTAATGAGATTGTCTGAAGTCCACACAATTTGTCTCCCACTTAAATTCCATGCATCTGACACTAGGAAAGAAAAGCAGCTTCTGGAGAAGACATTGCTCCTTGATTCTTAGCAATCAAGTATGATTCATGATGATCGTAGCAGATGGGTCCTGAACTTGGCCATCTGAGAGCCCTTCCCTGCAGGGGCCAGTCTAGCCTGTGAGCTGGACTAGGCTGGCCAGTTCTGAGACATGTGGTCAGCACTGAGCAGTTCTCTTGTCTTTAATGCTTCCAGTCTGAATATGAGATTCAGGGCCACTGTGTTGGCACCATCTGCATGATCACTCATACAGAATGCTGTCACTACCTTGCAGAAAGAGATCTGAGAGGGTTGGAGGTTGTGGAAGAGAGTTCTTTTTACAGTCTTTTTTTTTTTTTTAAAGTACATGGAAGACAAAGGAAAATTCCCATAACCACACTGATTTTTAACACTTAATACAGAGAATAACCAACACTAGCCTGAAACTTTCTCAGCTACATCGTGAGATCACTCCTCTTGCTGGTTGGCCCTTTGTGTAAATCCACTAGTGTCGTTTCTGTTAATCGACTCAGGAGGGGGCAGGGGACACACACACCCTGAATTGGAGGTTTGACCACCTTCACAGTGAAATATTACCATGAAAAGTTATTGGTTCTCACAAGTGTACATAGACTGACATATTTCCCCCTTTCTCTTTTTGTGGAGGATTATAAATCCCTCATTGTTTTGGTCTGCTGATGTCCGATGCATCAGCATGTATGAGTCCACTTGTCTCCTTTTCCCTCCTGTGATGGACTCCCATGAGAGTTCAGCCTGCTGCTGTTTCAGGAGCATTGTTGCAAGGGCAGAATGGACCCTCCCGAAAGAGGAAGAGGAATGGTGTCTTGTTGCCATGAAGCTAGCTCCTGCAGTGTTGCCTGCTTATGAATTTTGCTTAGTGCTTGCTTCAGCATCTTCTAAACATGCTCTTCTAATGGGTGGCCCAGGAGAGTGAGCTGTTGACATTTTCATTCCTTTTTACTTCCAGAACCCATGAGAGAATCTCGCTTTTGTTGTTTGGACTTTTCATGATACCTTTCATTCTCCAGTTGCCCCTCAGGTTTCCCTCTTTGCTCTGTGATTTCTTAGAATCATGTCCCTCTTTCTGTGGGTGGTGCTCTACCACACGTTCTTGACTATTATACAGCATTTGCCTGTTTCTTGTCAAGAAGCAGAGATCTTCTGGGAGGCAGAAAGGGTCTTCCTTCTTCCTAGTGTTGTAGGCTAGTGGGTAAAACATATTATATACCCGATAGGGCTTTGTATGCATCATTAAGGTTACTAATCATGTTAGCCCTAGAGTTATCTTAAGTTAAGCATGTAAGTCTCAGTCTAATCTCTTTGATAGTGGTTCTCAATCTTACCAACACTGTGACCCTTTAATACAGTTCCTCATGATGGGGTGACACCCAGCCGTAAAATGATTCTTCTTGTTACATCATAACTGTAATTGTGCTAATGTTATGAACCATAATGTTAACTATCTGCTATGCATGACATCAGGATTCAAAATGATTACAACCCACAGGTTACCGTCTTAGACCCTCAGAAGCAGAGAGCTTGCTCTATTGGAATCAGAGAAAGTGTAAAGAAGACTTGAGATTCAGAGGTGAAGGATTTGATGAACTTTGCTTGGCTCCTTAATGTGAGTACTAATGTGCGTGGTTTGGAGAGAGGCCACTGGTTCCTAAGGGTCCCTGGCCACCAAAGGTTATCTGAAAAATCAGGGTCTGTACCCTGCTACTGCACGGAATAGAACTGGGCAACAACACGAATCACCTCAGAGGAAATTTCTTCCCCAAGACTCCTGATAAAACTAAGTCTACCTATCCCATAAACTCAGCTTTGAAGCCTTAGCAGAGAAACTTGAATTCTTGCCAAGAAAATGGCACTGTGTGTGTGTGTGTGTGTGTGTGTGTGTGTGTGTGTGTGTGTGTGT